TCGCCGCGCACTGTTGTTCCACCCGCTCCTCTCTTCGCAGAGCAACTTCGGCGTTCCAGCGCCCCGCTCCTAAAGACCGCCTGTTGCCCTCGATACGTCTGGTTGTAAAATACGGTGAATCGAATCGTCGTTCGCTTAAAGCGTGGCAGAACGCCCCAGGGACCGGAGAACCCAAGCTGGTTGATTTTGGGACCCCGGCCGTGCGCAGTCCGTACGTGCTGCGTGTGTGTTTGCTCTGTAGAGGTGGAGCAGAGGCGGTAGTGAGGGGGTATCCACGCTGTACTGAGAACTAGCACGTTCAGCGGGAGATGGTTTATCTTTTCACTGTCTTCCTGTGAGCAGGCTGTGAAGGTGGCTCTTTTGCCATGCAATATTTTTGTACAAGAGCGTGACTTTTTTAGAGTTTCAGGTTAACCACAAGTGTAAGCTCCTTTCCAAAACATCAAGGCTGCCTGACAGCAGCTGCTAATTAGATTAATCAGCCACATTGGAATGTTGTTTCTAAAATCAAATTTCTTCTGGTTTTGGTTTTTGATTACTTTGTAGGACGAGAGCGAGTTCAGAGCTCAGCTTTGTGAATGTACAGTACTTAAACCTGCACTGAAAGGTTTCTTGCATCTGCAGGAGAGTGGGAAAGGCAAGGCAGACACGTAAAAAAACCTAAAAACTTCATATGAGGCTGCCAACAGGGGCAGCCGCTTTCTGAATGGGAGGCCGAGTCAGATTGGCGACGGCAGCACTGGAATGGGAATAGTTACAGGCACTGTACGCTTAAGCGTTCCTCTGTGTTAATCTTTTGTCCGAGAGGCTGCCTCGCTGCCCTCTAGGGCTACGTAGCCGTGTGGGTTAGGCGTACAAACGTGCAGATGTTTCCATTGAAGTGTCTGTACCGGGAGGAAAGCCCGTCACCTACGAACTCGGATAGCGGAAGCCCTGTTGGTGGGGTAAACCCTTCCTGACAGAGTTCCCGACTGGAAGTCTTCACGCATTTCCGTAGAGCGAGTGACGCGGTGAGGGCGCCCGCGGTTACAAACAGACGTGAACAGGGTGTGTCACGTTCGCCTTACGGCATGGGCAGCCCGTGTGGAAGCAGCGTCCCCCCGGCTGGGTGCTGTTGGGAGTCCAGAACATTGGCTGCAGGGGGTCGAGCAGGCCTGTGCTGGTAGGAGTTGGGGCCCTTACTGCTGGTGGGGGCAGGTAGGGGCTGTAATAAAGGCTGTAATGACTTGGTGAGCGAACGGAAGGAAGCGCAACCGGGAATTTCAGCAGCCATCTGAAATTCCGAGTGACAGCCGTGTGACGTAGAGGTCTGTGTAACAGCTGGGGGGGAGTCTCTTAGGCACAGATGGGTCCATCTGCGTCACCCTGCAGCCCAACACGTTCTTTTGGGCAAGGTGACGGACCGAACGCCCCCTTTGGGTTTGGGGTAACAGCGTTCATGTTCGGAGGGTCAACTGAAAACCCACAAATCTGGAATTATTTAATGGCAGGGTGAAATGAAGGTTGACAGTTTCAGCTTCTCCATTGGATTGTGTAACTTGGCTGTAGAATGATGATTAGAGGTGTACTTTGATTTTTTTTTTCCTTTTATTTATTTACAGTCTTATTTATGTTCTGTTTAATACAGTTCAGTTCTGGCCATAAAAATATTTGACATGCTATTGTGAAAAATACTGAGAGCTGTCTAAATTCTTGCCAGATTAGCCGTTTCTCCTCACGGGCTGAATATTTTTTTTTAAAAAAGGTATTTAAAACAAGGTCAAAATTCTAAGTATTGCTGGCTTTACCTTGGAAAACTCATTTAAAAATGAGATACTTTCCCAGTTTGGAAAAAGAGGAGCATGAACATGTTTATAGGCAGCTTTTAACAATTCTGGGTTTGGAGTTTTGGGGGATTTTTGCTAATTCCGATTATTCGCACTCAGAGCATTGGGTAGAAGAAGCTAAAATAATACAGACAAGTAACCCCCTCCCAGTTTCAAATTACAAATACTCCTCTGGAAGCGGAATTTACCCTGCGCAGCAGGGCGGAAGGAATGTAACTAGTTCCGTTTCCAGGTACCAATGTCCCCGCAGTTGGCGTCTCTCCAGATCTAAACATGACTGGTACACGAACACTTAGCCAAAAGAGCAGAGTTTAGCAGAAGTTGTAATAAACACAAATCAAATAACTCTAAGATCTGTTGGGGTTTTTTACTGTTGCTATGTTTATACTGTATTAAATATCAAATGCTCAGGACTGAACTAAATATTTAATCAGGTTATATTCTGAATGTGTTCCTGTCCTAATGTTGTCCGTAAGAGTATGCAAGTACGTCACGTAGATTAACTTGTCTCTGCACTTTCCATGTGTTTCAGTGATTGGAAAATACATTTTTTTTTAACAAAGCTCTTTTCCAGACCAGTGTCTTACTTAATTCTTATATTGCTGTTCTGTGAGTGTTTCTATGCTCTTGGCAGAAACAGGTGGGTGCTGCAGCTCTGTCAGTGGAAAACCACTGCAACCTCTCCAGAGTCAGCCCCTGACAGGTCTTGGGGTAAGTTGTGTGGAAACGGGTTCACACCCCTGAGGGTAGTTGGTCACGTTCATTCAGAACTGCACTAGCGAGGGACCCGGCCCACCCTGCACTGGACAGTATCTCATTATTATTTAGGAATACTGCCTTTCTGGAGAGAGATGGATTGCACAGGGATACAGTCGGTGCCTTGCTCACTCCCTCTCTCCCCACCCCTGTATCACCGTCGGTGCCTTGCTCACTCCCTCTCTTCCCCTTGACGTGACGTCCTGTCTGAGCAGTTGTAGGTTACACTGGTGCAAGCGATACGGGTCCAGGGAACTTCACTCCAGGTTGTATGGTATTAGGTTTATGTAATGAGTGTTGAGCTGGCATTACAGACCGTTTCAGGACTTAATTTTATAGAAAGGATGTTGTTTAAGTTTAAAACAGCCCCCACCGCAGCTCTGCTACTGGAAATAGGGTCAAGTCTCCCTGCCTGCTTACGGGAGTAAAAAATTTTATAGTTGCTTATCCTAAAAAACACAAACCCTACAATTGAGCAGAGTTTAAAGAAATACAGCAGTGACCGAGATCTCCGTAGCTCATTAATTAATGTAATTAAAACTGAAGGTAAGTACTTAGTAAGAAAGAATCCCTCCCCCCAGTCTTGTAAACAGTCACCTGTCTGTTCAGCAGACCTCTCCGACTGTAACGCAAGGGTAGAATCTGAAAACCTGGTATCTACCCTTTTTAAAGTCTTCCATTTCCACTTCCCAGATGTTGATGGGTGTCTGGCACATCTGCCCTTGCCTGCTGCTCTGGTAACTGGTGGTCAGGTGATGAGCAGATCCTGGAGAGGAGCAGAGAGCCACCAAGAATTATAAAAAAAAAAATCCACCAAACCACCCACTGAACAGTGCATCCCCGACTGCCCATCTGGGCACAAGCTCTGGGATGTCTCCATCCCAAAATTCCTGGATTATTGTATGGGAAACCCAGGAAAGGGGGACTAAGGCCAGAACTCCAGGCATCCACAGGACTATTACATATATATATGAGTAGTAACAGCCCTTCCTTCAGCTTCTGCCCTGTAGCCTCCGTCTGCAGGCAGCCCAGACCATGACTAGTGATCGGAAGGCTCGGGAGTCCCACTCCCTTTGACGTAGGTACTGAAGTCCCGGAAATCTTGAACGCTAGAGGCAAAGCTAGGAAAGAATCAAAGTCTTTGCACTGTCTTCCTCCTGCGTCTCAGACTACGCAGGCTTGCCGGAGCCCCACGGTCCAAAGCCCCAGGATGTTGAAGTCTAAGTTGAGATTTTACCAGTCCGGCAAATAGGGTACCAGTTAAAATCCATCCCTGTAGAGACACCACCACTCCAGCCGCCTGTGGCTGTTTGGTTTTTTAGCAGTCACAGGAACGCCCAGCCGCTGGCTTTCGTGGGCTCTTCCACTCGGTTCTGTCACACGGAGCGGAACGCTGCATAAAGCATGAAATCCTCCTCCCCCTCCTGCTTGGTGCACCTGGTTCCACGTGCAGAGCCTGGGGGCTGCGGAGGGAGCGTGGTAAGGCAGGAGCTGAAGGGTGTAGCCCCACCTTTCCGTAGTTCTTTGCTTTCCATCAAACTTCCGCAAGTTTTGGCATCTTGCGGTTCACTTCAGAAGGAGATTTTAAGGCCACAGCCATACGTTTCTCCTCTGAGCACGTGAGGCTGGCTGCAGCGCAGCCAGTTAAATAGCACTTCCTTAAAGGTTGCAGCAAGGTGGTGTTCTGGATGTGCGAGGGGAGCGTTTCCTAGGATGCACAATGCCCCCACCCCCGTACTGCAAGAAGATCATGCGGTTTTTAAAGCCGCTTGTCTCGGCCCCTTTTTGGTGCCAGAAAGGCTGGGTACCAGGTAGGGGCAGCTTAGCCTGCCGGGAAAACAGCTCGCTGGGTGTGAAGCGCCCACCCCGTGCCACCCCACACCCGGAAGGACAGCTGCAAGGGATTTCAGACATCCACGTACCAGTTTCCAAGCACACGGACAACCAACCTGATGCAATGCATGTGTTCAGACTGTCTAGGATGTGAACACTCCGGGCCGGAGGTCACCGCATTCGGCAAGCGGAATATCGCGACAGGGAGGCAAGCATTGAGGCTCGTTTAATGGATTACACAGGAAAAGGAAGCGGATTTTGGTTAAAAGCCAAGCTGTAAGGGAACATGCACATTCATTTTCAGGATTTCACAAGGCAGTTGAGAAAGCAAAAGCACCTCTTCTGCGCAGTCTTAGGAAAATTTCAGCGCTCTGCTGGGAAACGAGGTTTTTCAACAGCTCCGCAGGTGAGAAAACACACCACCCCCCCAACGCCAGTTGTGGGGAAACCAGCCGTAAGCTTAGGAAATAAATCAGCTAGGTGACAAAGAGTCCCTTTGAATTCCTACTGGAATGAGCGTCTGGCTTGCACTAGGGTCTGAAAAAGATAGGGGCAGTCTTTCTGCACGGCTTAAAACCTTCCCTCCTAAGGCCTAGTCTCCGTTTCCACGCGCTGACACTGATCTCGCTGTTCTGCTGCTGCATAACGGCCCGAAGATGGATGGACTCCAGTTGAGCACATTGTGCAATTAAGCAGGGATCCTCCTAGTATAAGACAAAATCCAGCAAGCCAGCCAACAAATAACGCTTCCCCAAAATCCCACCTGGGAACAATATCTGGTATATTCTCATCCCAAAATTCCTGGACTGTGGAATGGGCAACCCAAGAAACTGGGATGATAGCTGTAATCCCCGATATCCAGAAGAGCATTCCGCCAAACAGCAACAGCCGTTTCTTTTGTTCCTGTTGTCTTTCACCAATTTTCAAACAGTCCAACCCAAATCCTGAGAGCAAGAGGCCCAAAAGCCCCGATCCGTTGGAGAAAACCATCAGAATCCTAGAAATCCTGAGCTCTGGAGGCAAAGCTAGGAAAGAATCGAAGTCCTTGCACTGCATTCCCCCTTCTTCCTGGACAACACAAGCTTGCCAGAGTCCCATGGTCCAGATCTCCAGTTCGTTCAGTTCCAAGTTGAGATTTTTCCACTGGGGTAGGTAGGTGGTGAGACAGGACAGGACCCATCCCAGGAGGGAGAACAGAATGCCACTCACTTGCATCATTGGTTGGTAGACCAAGGCCATCAGCAGAGCGGCGTCCCAAAAGGTCGAGGAGGAAGGTCTCCCCAGCAGTTCCCTGACAACTGCTACCTTGAGGGATGGTGGAAGCTGTGATGGTTTTCCTTCCCTGCTGCCCCAAATATAAGCCCTCGCTGTTAACCCTTCGCAGGCTCTCAAACACTTTTTTGTTCTTCGCGAATATAGAGTTTCACATAAAGGACGAAGGGCTTCGTTAAACCACGAGTTAGGCTCTCCGATAAGGATTTGATCTGTTACCTTCCCATTTGCTTGGTAAAATTATATCCCAATGCCTGATGATTACAAGCCTGAGGATGAACAAAGAGGGCTCTATGACCCCTCACCCTAAAACACAACAGAAATCTTTGTGCTTCAATACGGATTAATTAGATTTTAAGTGGTGATAAAAAGTCAGCTCTGTGTGCAACAGGACTTCATTGTAATAGCTAAATTTGAGATTTCAGGGATGTAAATCAAGGCCTTGTAAAGAAAGGTAGACTGTTTGCCTATAATCTTTATTCTTAGACTTCCTCAACATACAGAATGGCTTGTCTTCCACTGCCCTGTTTTATGTCCCCAGCACTGTAAAAGACGCTTTGTAAAAGATCCTTATGTTTCACATTTTCTACATTCATTTCTTTTAAAATGGGCTTTGTTTGGACTGACTCTTAAGGGGAAAAGGAGACGGGTATGGTGAAAGTACCCTAGAAAATGAAATCCTAGACATCCCTCCACCATAATGAACCCAGGCAGATCATCAGCCAGCGTAAACTTTCCCTGCCCCAGGACTTCAGCAACGCCACGGTAGCAGCTTACAGCAGCTCAAAGTGTCCCCTTTCCTTGCGCCCATGACCCAGATGGCACAGGGTGTATACGCTTCGTGTCTAACACCATTTGGCACTCAATGCTCCCAGGGCCAGGCACGCCTCATACCTTTCTGATCAAAGCCAGACACCATTATGCCATTACCCCATTAGGAAACCCTGCTTTTTTCCTGCTCCCAGGTCAGCCACGCTTGTGCCCGTCTACCGGGTCAGCAAGGAGAACACTTGCCTGCTGTTCCCCACCGCAGACGTAACCGCGCAGCCTGTACGGGAGGGAGCTGGGCAGTGCGAACACACCCACGCGCCTACGACCCGGGGGGGTTTGTTCCGGTCTTTCTGGACTTCGTTTCCTAAATGTGATGATGTCCTCATCTGCATATTTTACTTCTCAGTTGCTCAAAAGGGGTTATCAGGTGATGGAAAAATGTAATGCTGCTTTTGAAGGTTTCCAAAATCCTGAAGGGTGTCAGTAAGAAATTTCACTGCAAGATCTTCTTCCTCATTTCTAACCTGTGTGGTTTTCTCTGTCTCAAGCTGTGAAGAGGACGATCTATTCCCCCTCTGCTTGTGTACCAACCCACTCCAGCGGCTTACACCTGGTCAGAAATTACCACGCGCACAAGCAGCCATCACCAAGGACGTTACTGACAACACTGGCAACAAACGCAGCCAAGTGACACCCTAATTGTGGCCATCCACTAGGCAAAAGAAGACCCACCTTGCATTCATCCAACCTCCAGACTGTAGTTTCAGATGTGGCAGTGTCCTTTCTCTCCGCTTAGAGCAAGAACGCTAGTTCTGGAAATCAGCACGGCACTCAGTGAGAAACCCTAATGCCGTTTGAGCCATCTCAGACAAAGAGCTACGCTCCAGGAGCGCTGCTGCTCCTTCAGGGGCCACAGGCTTATTGGCCATTAAAACCATGGCTACCGCCAGGCTATTACTGGAAGCCTGTTGCGCTTCTCTCGTCTGTGAGCATTTAACATTTTCTTCTTTGCTCTTAGTTCCAGCAGTGTGAGAGCACAGGATCAGGCATGTCAAGCCCATTCATTCTGCTCCCGTCAGCCATGGCCAGAGCCATATGCTGGCCTTTCAGCTGTAGCCAGCAGAAGCACTGAGACCGCTGCACCAGTAAGATCTGCCAACTAAGTTCTGCAGCGTAACAATTAACCTTGCACTTGGAGCAAGCAAACCTTGCTTAGACTATCCCGTGCAAGGTTATAAGAGAATCCTTGTTCTTCCAGTGGGAAAAGAATACTAAAAATAGTTAGGACTTGCCTTGCTGCCAGGACAGTGACAAGGTCTGAAACGCTTTTACTTGGAGCTTACTGATCTTACAAAAATCTCAGCAAACCCATAAACAAGGTCTTCCAGCTGCACTGAGATGTGTAAATTCCCAGGTCAGTAACTGCCTTAGTCCTGTCTGCCTTGTCCTTCATTCATACCTTTCCTCCTCACCATTACTTCTTTCTTCCTCTCACGTCTATAAGTGTCACATTCCCAGAATACCTTATTTTGGCAGACTTCTCTCTCCCTGGAAGGCAACGTGGCAGAGTCACTGCAAAGCCTAAGGGCTAGAACTGGGCTGCCATCAGTTTCTGTCCTACTGCTCACGGTAATCTGAAACATAAACCCAAGGCGCACTGTTACATCGCCATGACAAAAGCCATCTGCTGCCATCTGCACAGCCTGAAACAACGGGTCATCCCGAGGGGTTTCAGCAGAGGTGGCTGCTGGCTGCACCCTAAGCCGGTGGGGCAGGGAAGCTGCCTGCCCAGAACCTCCCCAGCCAGCGCCATGGGGCCTGCGCACAAGCGACCCGCTCCAGGACAACTCTGCCCCCGCTCGCTCACCCTGCCAGCCCCAGCAGCAAGGGCTGCGCTGGGCTCACACGAGCTCGCCAGGAGGAGTGGGGACAGCTGTCACTGACCGGGGTGCTTTCGGGTGAGGTGAGGGTGAATTTGGAGGGTTCAGAGCATTTCACCCCCTGACTTTAAAGCCTGACATATGTGACATTCAGGGATACTCCTAGGCAGGCTTCTGCAGCTCAAACAATCTCAGCACGAGGGACCGAGCGGCAGAGAAGAGCCGTCTGGTCACTGTGCCAGCACCTGCCTCACACAGCAGCCAGCGGAGACCCTCCGGAGCACCAGCCCCGCTGACATCAAGCACTCGCCACAGACACACACACCAGCACATCTTCACACTCACTGCTCTCACTACTGGACCATTTCAACGGCCAGTTCTGCGCGACAGCGAGCTGTCGTACCTCCCGTGACAGACAGTGCCCGTGGAGAACGGCGCAGGGCACGATCAAGGTCCTGCGGTTTCAGTAACGCTGCTGAAAGCATTGGAGATCCCATCTCCCGTTTGAGCTAACGGCCAGCATCGCTCTGCAAGCTGATCTAGACTAAAGCAGAATGGGGGTGGTCAGCACGCACCTCATCCTACGCGGGTAAGGGCCTTAAACCTGTACGCCCCACAAAATCATTTCAGGCTGAACACGAGGATTCTGAACCCTACTGCAAGTGATACATATTTTCTTCAGAAGCTTTAGCACTACACCAACTCTTCTGGGAACCTCCATGGCCAGAGATAGGTATGCGTTTTACCCCCCACAAAGAGTATGAGGGAACTGTCATCTTTACACAGCTCTGCAGCCCACGGAGTTATCCAAATGGGTTTAAATTGAAAGTGGGGAGGGTTAGATTGGATATCAGGAAGAAGTTCTTCCCGGAGAGGGTGGTGAGGCACTGGGACAGGTTGCCCAGAGAAGCTGTGGATGCCCCATCCCTGGAAGTGTTCAAGGCCAGGCTGGATAAGGCTTTGAGCAACCTGGTCTAGTGGAAGGTGTCCCTGCCCATGGCAGGGGGGTTGGAACTAGATGGGCTTTAAGGGCCCTCCCAACCCAAACCGCTCTGTAATTCTGTGAAATGTTTTATGTTCAGCATAAGCAGAAAGAAATCTCAGGTGCCGCACTGTGGGAGTCAATTAAGCAATTTAATCCCACAAAAGCAGTCAGTGTATTCTAAGAGACTAGTTCTTTCCTTTCCGTTCCCCCATAAGGCATAAGCGTGTTCATGTTGTGGGCTTGTTTATTCCCCTCCAGTGGTACAAAAGTGTGCTCATCTGTGAAGTACAATTGTCTCCAATAACTTTCCCCAGACACTACCATCATTTTTGCTAATCTGAAGATAGTCAGAGTTCCCTAATCATTTTTCATTGCTAATTTAAATATCTAGTATTTTCAAGGATCATTCACAGGTCTCTCGTCTTTAGATTCCCATCTTAAAGATACATATGCAGAAGATAGAAAATCTGTATGCTGGCTTTTATTTCCATAACTGAATCTTAGTTACAGCCAGTAAAACAGAGCTGCTGTCACAAGTCAGCAAGGTAATGTCTTCAGCATCCCACTACAAGCGGGTTAATTCATTCAGCTTGGCAGTCTTTTGCTTTCCACCTTATTGCCTGAACTGGAAGCTGTGGGAGTTTGCATTTTCTTATCCAGCTAAGAACCCATTTCTCTGTGATGCCAGAACACCTTTTGGTTTTGCATATCTGACATGCCCTTCAGCGAAGCCAACAGGAACATCAAGCAAAGAACACAAACAACCCACCATCCATATTCATAGCATCACAGAACAGTTTGGGTGGGAAGGGACCTTAAAGCCCATCCAGTTCCAACCCCCCTGCCATGGGCAGAGACACCCTCCACTAGACCAGGTTGCTCAAAGCCTCAACTCACTCTTGACTCACTCTTGTCTGCATTTGAGTGAACTTTGACAAAAATAATTATTTTTATGGGTAGATCCTAAGGTTTCAGGGTGCTTCAGAGCATCACAGCAGAGAGAGGTTGACTTTGCCCTGAATAACCCTGTGCACCTCCCCTCTTCAAACACTGGGTGTAATTCGTTAAGCAGCTTTAACAAGAGCCTATTATGCATGCAAAAAACATGTATTTCCAGGCGTAAAAGACCTTACTATCAGTTTCCCTTCTGTAAGACTACTCCAAATCTCGATAGAAGATGTCATGTAGCAGTTGGACAAGATCTAGAAGGAAGAGGCACTGAAAGAGTTAAGCACAGCAAGGTGAAACTGCCTATTTCTGCTTTAGGGACTTTTCTTCAAAAGACTGAAATGGGAGAGGGTAGATTTGCCACCATTATACTGGAAGAATAA